CCAGAGACTGCGGACAGCACAGGGATGACCAGAGACTGCGGACAGCACAGGGATGACCAGAGACTGCGGACAGCACAGGGATGACCAGAGACTGCGGAAAGCACAGGGATGACCAGAGACTGCAGACAGTACAGATGACATTTTGGGAGGTGGGGAGCGGGTACCTGAATTTGACAGGTACCCGCTCTTACTTCCGCAGAGTTTTTGTTTGATCTTACCTGTTCCTCGATCCAGCCGCGCGCTGTCTTCCCGGCTTCTGTAATGGCGCTCGGCATGACAGCCGGGTGCCCAGTGCGCATGAGCGAGAAGCACTTGTGCTTTGTGATTGGTCCGGCAGCTTCTGGGATCTGTCATGTGTCCCATGTACCGCCTTACCATTCACAAAAAGCACCGCTTCTTGCGCATGCGCACTGGCACCCGGCTGTCATGCCCAGCGCCCACACTATAGAAGCCGGGAAGACAGCACGCCGCTGGATAGAGGAACAGGTAAGGTCCCGCTGCAGAGCTGAGCGGCCGGCCCGGTATTCTGACACGGCCGCGGTGGAAATACCAGACCGGCCGCTCCATATTCGCCTTATAAGACGCACTGACATTTCCCCCCCAGTTTTGGGGAAGAAAAAGTGCGTCTTATACGCAAAAAATACGGTAGTATAGTTAATAGTATACAGAAAAAATGTAAAGCTGACCTAAGACTAGACAACCCTCCCCCACCCTTCCCCAATCAGGTGAATCAAATTAGAGTTTTACAGTATACGAGTATAGTATATAATTTTGTTTGCCAGCTTACTAAATCACAAACATAAAATACTCTACACTATGCAAATTCATGTATATTGCAGAGAGACACTCTGAAAAGGATTTGATTTGCCTGTCTGCTCATTCACCACTGATATATGGATTGGTTAGTTCATTGGGGTTGAATTACTAAAGGCAAACAGGTTCACTCTAAAAAGGAGTTTTCCCCAGAGCTTAATGAATGTGGTGAAGCTCTGTTGACTTCCACCATCCAATCATGTGCAAGCAAAAATACAGTTTTTTATTTTCCTTGCCGATGCAAATTGATTGCAAATTGCAAATAGAATTGTGATCACATTCCATCAATTGAAATTTTACAACATTCACTAAGTTCCAAGGAAGTTTCCTTGCAAAGCACAACTTCCTTTGCAGAAGCTGAAAAAAAGCATATTTACCTTTGGTGAACAATCCCATTGTTTTCTCTCAGTGACTTCTCTTCCTAAATATTGACACCTGATAGGCAAGTATTCAAAAGCTTCTATCAAAACGTGGCTCTGTTTGAATTATTTTTATCCAAGTTACAAAGTCATATGCAGTGAATTGAAGTGTCCAATCATTTGTTAAAAAAAAAAAAGTTTTATTTATTCAAAATTCTTTTTGTGTGTATGACCTTGTGAGTTGCTATGTATATACACCCTATTTGTGAGCTGCTTTCATTGATAAATTCATATCAAAATTATTTATAACTAAAATAATATACACTATATTCCCAATGTGTTATTATATATACAAAATCCAGATTGCACAGTCCACCATTCTATGCACATTTAAACTTTTTCTGGTATCCTGTTGTAGTGTTACCATTCAGTACTCACAATCTTAATGGATTGGGGCATAAAGGAGAGTGCTTTTAAAATGGTATGTTTTGGCGATTTCCTTTTATGTGTATGGCTGGTTAAAACATGGCATGAGAACACAAGATCTGCAAAGGCTGTGGAGAAGTGGAGTGGTGTAAGGCTCCATTCACACCTGAGCATAGAATTTTTCAGCATTTTTGTTGCATTTTGTCAGCATGTTTTTGTGCATTTTCATACAGCGTTTTTAGGCGTTTTTGAACTTTATCATTTTTTTATTAGCCAATAGAAAAAAATATCATCTGTTACATCATCTGTTGCTAGGTTTTTCTTTTTTTTAGTTTTCCCATCAGCTCTAGTTTTTATTATTATTATTATTATTATTACTATTATTATTATTAATTTGTTATTTTGTTTTTGTTAGGGTAAAGGGTTAGTTAAGGTTAGGTTAGGGTTAGGGTTAGGATTGGGTTTGGGTTTGGATTAGTATTTTATTAAGATAATAGTAAGCAAACTTAGATAAATAAATAAACAAAAATATAAAGTCCCATACACCTAGAGTCCAAAATAAAGTCCAACTTTAAAAAAAATCCAAATCCAAAAGAATTCTTGCAAGTGATTTCCCAATATGTCTTTCTCCCCGAATCAGATTGATGGTATACTCCAGAAAATCTTCATATACCTCAAAGGTGGGGCAGGCTACTGATTGCACAAGAGTGCTGCTACTGAACTACTGTGACAACTACTTGTACAAGGACAGTACACAGCATATGGCTGCTAGCTGACAATTCTTGCTGGGACTATTGCTGGAACACAGCTGCTTTTCTAATGAAGTCTATGGGAAGTGTTTGGAGAAGATGGTAGAACAATGTTTGGAGGCATTCTCATCTTTACTATGGATCCTATGCTGATTTTATCTATGTTGGGGTAATTATGCACTCACTATATTGTGTGCAGTGGAGTTACTAATTGAATTATTAGAGTCCTGAGATCTCACGATTGTGTGTGGCACTTTCTGTTTGTTTGCATGTGACACGTGTTGCACTTTATTTTAATACTTGGGGTAATACACTATGTTGAGATCTTTTTCTTTGAGGTATATGAAGATTTTCTGGAGTATACCATCAATCTGATTCGGGGAGAAAGACATATTGGGAAATCACTTGCAAGAATTCTTTTGGATTTGGATTTTTAAGTTGGACTTTATTTTGGACTCTAGGTGTATGGGACTTTATATTTTTGTTTATTTATTTATCTAAGTTTGCTTACTATTATTTTATTATTATTTTTGTACTTCAGGGGAAGGAATGTTAAGTAACTTATTGGGGTTTTGGTAGAGGAAGTGAGTGCTAATTTTTGTAATTGGATTAGTATTTTATTTATTATTTTCTTATTATTTATTTATTATTTTATTTATAGTATTTTACGTATTATTTTCTTGTTATTTATTTCTTTGTTAGGGTAATAATAATAATAAATAATAATAATAAAAAAAAAAAATGAATAAATAAATGTAAAATAAATACACAAATAAAAATAATCCTAAATAAATGCTTGTAATAGTAAATTAGTATATTAATAATACACAACCCATAACCTTAACCCCAAAACCTAAAAAAGTTATAAAATAATAATAACAATAATTTATTATTATTATAAATAAATAATAATACAAATGTGCCAAAAACCTGCACATCTGCCCAATAACAAAAAATGCCAAAAACTTGCACATCTGCCCAAATTGAGCTACAAAAGTAGCTCCAAAACTTTTTTGAGCATCAGGCGTTCTGCTTCAGGCGCGACTTGGAGTGGAGATGTGAACCATCTCCACAGAGTATTATTGATTTTTTTTCCCCCTGTGTGTTTTGGAGCCTCAAGCTTCACGCTACAAAATGCTCAGGTGTGCATGCAGCATAAAAGAAGAAACACTGATGGATGGAATCTGCTTGATGGGCATATCCTATTTGGTCCTTTAGGGACACAGGCATATGTTCATATGTTGATCATACTTATTTGTAAGGTCACATTATCCCAGGTGAGAGCACATCTGGTGGAGGGTGATTATACTGTTAAGAGGATTATGAGCACTGAATGGTGACACTACAACAGGATATCAGAAAAAGTTTAAATCCGCATACAATGCTGGACTGTGCAATCTGGACTTTGTATATATAATATAGTGTATATTATTTTTGTTATATATAATTTAGATTTTGAATGTATTTATGAAAGTTGTTATAGAAGTGAAGTGTGGCACATATTTATTATTCCAAATTCCCTTCACTTGACTGGATATTTAAAAGAATACACTTATTTATGTGACTGGGTGTTTATAGTATAATTCATTTCATTTCACCTAACATCTTACATTTCCACATAAAACCCAGTTTAGCTTTATTATCATTACACTTCAACAAGTGTATTTTTCCGTGTAAGCCCATTCTGAACAATTCCATCTGCTCATAATTCTATTTCTAAACATATGGTGTGGAACCACAAGCATTACCTATATGTCCCTTGTGGAAGAACTTCAATCCATAAGCAAAATCCAAAGCAGTCAGCAGTAGTTCTAGATAAATGAAGATGTATTTATGAGGTACAATGTATTTATGTCAATCTGCAATGATAGGATATCAGTGAGTACTATAACCTTGATAAAGGGAACTGCCATACCCAAAGCATTTCTATTTCACGTTAAAGTGTATGTCCAGCCAAAACTTTTTTATTTTTTTTGGAAAGAATGGGAAAGTTTCAGGGTGCCACTCACACTGTGCAAGTCGCCGACTCTGGATTCCACAAAAAGCCCCAGGCCATCATACTTCCTCCACCATATTTGACAGTTGGTGTCACACACCTAGAAACCATGCTTTCACCTACTCAATGGCATACAAAAACCCTGCATGATGAAGCGAAGATCTTAAATTCTGATTCATCGGTCCATAAGACCTTCATCCAGTCTTCAGTAGTCCACTGGCTCTGCTTCATTGCCCATGCATGCATGCCTCTTTTTCTTATTTCCCTATCTCAGCAATGGCTTTCTTACAGCCATTTGACCTGTCATAACTGCAGCTCGAATTCTTCTATTCACAGTTGAAACTGAGACTTGTTTACTACGATCACGGTTAAGCTGTTGTCCTGTGAGCCACCTGGCATGCAAGCTGTCAATTCTCAGAATCGTGTCTTTTGATTGTGTTGTGGCTTTGGATCTTCCAGATCTCCTTCTGTCAGAGTTTTTCCAGTTGCCAAGTGCCTTTTAATGGTGTAGGAAACTGTATGCACTGACACCTTGGCTTTCTTTGCAGTTCTTTAACTGCCTCCTGCCCACCATATAAGGAGATGACGAGCGCAAGGTGGATCTCTCATTCTGGGAGGACGTCATATGAGGTCCTCCCACTCTAACCGCGTGCAAGTGGCCCCGAGGGTGCGGTGCAGCGCAGTGATCGGTGGTGCGCTGTGTCCCTGGGACACAGTGGACCACCGATCAGCGGAAAGAGCCGATGACTTTGATCGCATGTAAATAAGGAAATGCTGGTTATCGGCATTTCTCTCCTCACGAGCTGTCACGCTGACAGCTTGTGAGGAGAGGAGAGCCAGTAATCGGTATTCCTCAGAGGGAATCAGCGTGCTGATGATCAGTGTAGCCTCATCAGTGCCACCCGTCAGTGTCTGTCAGTGCCACCTGTCATTGTCCATCAATGCCACCTGTCAGTGCCCATCAGTGCACATCAATGCCACATGTCAGGGTCTACCAGTGCACATCAATGCCACATATCAGTGCCCATATGAACTGCCTTTCAGTGCCAACTATCAGTGCCAGCCAGTGCCACCTATCAGTGCCAGTCAGTGCCGCCTATCAGTGCCAGCCAGTGCCGCCTATCAGTGTCTCATAACAGTGCCAGCCAGTGCCACCTAACAGTGCCAGTCAGTGCCGCCTGTCAGTGCCAGTCAGTGCTGCCTATCAATTCCGCCTATCAGTGCCCATCAGTGATGTCTGTGAATGCCCACCAGTGATGCCTGTCAATGACCATCAGTGCCACCTACCAGTGCCTCCTCATCAGTGCCCATCAGTGCCGTCTATAAGGGCCCATCAGTTCAGCCTATCATTGCCCATCACTGCAACCTCATTAGCGCACATCAGTGAAGGAGAAAAATTACTCATTTACAAAATTTTATAACAGAAACTAAGAAATAAACTTTTTTTTCAAAATTTTCAGTTGTTTTTGGTTTGTTTATCAAAAAATAAAAAACCCAGTGGTGATTAAATACCAACAAAAGAAAGCTCTGTCTAAAAAAAATGATAAAAAATTTTTTATGGATACAGTATTGCATGACCGCGCAATTGTCATTGAAAGTGCAACAGTGCTAAAAGCTGAAAATTGTCCTGAGCAGGCAGGGGGTGAAAGTGCCCGGTAGGCAAGTGGTTAAAGGAAAAACGTCCACTTTTAAGGGTTATAATGGTCTTTCTGTCTTCCTTTCCTAATTGCCTTTTTCTCGCCATTTTGAGAGCAGTATATACAACTTCCAGCAGTAAAATACTTTCTAAATAATGCTTAAGATGATGTAGTAACACAGTCTGTTTCAACACTGCTTTTATACAGAGCTTGTAAATAATCAACAAATGTTTGGACACCTGTAGGAATTGTTAGGCTTAATTTACTTATAGCTGTGTGGTTCGCCCATTAATTCTTTCCCGAAAAAAGGCCATTTTGTTTAACCTTGAAATGTACATTATGTTTCCATTTTTGTTAATCTAAACTTTTTTTCACCTCTGGCAGTTTGCTGTTTACCTTTGTACCATTTCAGATTATTCACTGGACTTGAATGGTTTACCTAAAATAAAAACTGGAAAAATTGGGGGTTTCAAAAACTTTAAACTCTTAGTGTACATTTTACTGTTCATTACTAAAATAATTCGTTTTGCTGACCGTGCCATTTTTTGAGTACTCTCATCTATATGCAATAAGCCCTGAAGAACTCCTGAAGCAGACTGGCTGTTTTATGTTTTACACCTGTATTGGACTCTTTGGGGGGTCTATTTATAAAAAAAAATTGGTTTGTGAATGTCTCAGCATGTATGCAAAAGTCACAACAAATACCTGTAAAGTTTGGAATATTTGAGTAATATCGGATTGTAATTGTTGCCTTTCAATGGATGAATGCAACATTCCCTAACATTTGATCCTATATCCAAGTACTTAAACTCCCCCCCCAAAAAAAAATGTTAGTATGACCTTCCCCAAGATACGCGCACATATGAATATTAACTCACCTGTCAGGGGTTCCCTACATATGAAAAGTTTGCTTCAGATACACATGTTACATATCACCATGCACTCGTAAGTGAGTTCAATAATTGGAGGCCCACTATTCATGGTTATCTCTAAACTGATGGTCTGTAGGGGTTTTAAAAATGTTGTCTCTGGAAAATATAGGGTACTGAAGTTTGCCACCATTTTTGCGGGGCACGTGCAAATTTAAAGCTTTACATGCTGGGTATCTATTTACTCAGAGGAACATCATCTTCTTTACTTTACAAAAAAATGGGTATTATAATTTGTTTGTGTACCACAAAACTAACTTGTGTACTTTTTACTGAAATGTTTGGGGTTTTAAGCTAGTCGTAGACTTTGAACTAATATTTAGGTCTAAAATGATTTTTTAAACATGTGTGCAAAAAATGACTGTGGCAGTGAAAGGGTTAGAGCACATGGTGTCACAGAATAGTATGATTTTCAAGGACAGTTGTAGTGACAACATGCACCGACATTACATGTTTGGCTGTGGAATTGATTTTGCTATTTTACAATTAGTAGTTTGGCTTACATATAGCAGCAGCACCCCCTGATCTGATTTATTTCAGTTGAAAAAAGTTTGTTTCAGGTGGATTTAGCAGTGACATATTCTATTTCATCAAACGGTAACCAGCCCACATTGACCAGCAGACAGAGATTGGCCAGAAAGTACACTTTGGCTTTCTATGTCCTTGTTGACGCAGAACTGTCCTGCCACTGGGTCATTTTTTACAAAAGCTTCCATTAAGAATTAAGAGACAGAAGATGATACAGCAGTGTAAAACTGGCCAGAGCAGGACATTTTAATGAGGGAGAATTTATATATATGGATCGGATTTGCGGGGTGACACTGGACCCACTCCACGAAAAGATAAGATGTAAAGAAAGCTGGCAATCCCCACAGGATGGATCGGATCTGCACATTGGAAGCATAATGGATTGGAGTCCGATACATTATGCTCAATCTGCAGATCCGATCCATTCTGCGGGGATCGTCAAAGGGGGTGTTATCGCACTGGGTGACACCAACCCTAGGGACGCCCCTGCAAGAATTAAAAGTCTGAAGATGACACAGCAGTGTAAAACTGTATAGCATAAATTGAATTAGCAAGGCTAGGCCTGGGAGAGTCGACAAGGGGAGATAGGGGAGGTCCAATCCTCACAAGAGCATTCATTGGCAATGCATGCACAGCAGCTAAAGAAAGCTTAGACTGCAGAAGGGCTTTCTGTGAATGAGTTGAAGAAAGCTGCCTCAATTGAGTACCTATCCAAGGCTTGGAGTGTTCATTATGAACAGAACAAGCCTTTGATAGGTACTCGGTTTGATTTGCTTATTTCCTGTGTCAGGCAGGTGTGCATTATGAATGGAACTCAGAGCTCTCCAGTGTGCAGCTAGAGACAGGTGGGGTACAGAGACACATTGCAGCTGTTAGGTGACAATGGCCCTGTAACTACAGGAGCACAGAACTACAGGGTGATGGTTGGGTATGCTGGAGACAGGCACTATAATTCCTTCTCTCCCGGAAGCCCACGTAGTCTCTTGGTTGGTTCTATAACATTTGTTTTTTGCTTGGTGCCGTAAATGTATTTTGCTGTTGGTGATATTACAGTTCATATTTGCTTGATGGGGAAGTATTTTATATGTGATCCTATGTAGATTGATATAGCTCTAAATGTGCTGGTTGCTCAATAATCACTGACCATGTTATAGTAAACGTGATCATTAAAAAAATAAAAAAAAATTCCCCTACAAGGCAATGTCATAATGTGCTAGTATGCAATTATGTACAACTTACCTCACCGCTGACAGGGCTTTCATCTTCACCCAGTCCTGGCGGCCTCCGGTGGCTTGAATGGCTGAACCACAATGAAGCCACTGTTTACTGCACAGAGCTCTCAAGGAACGGCACAGGTAAGCGGTTCCTTTAGAGCGCATGCATCGGTGCTACTACACAAGTAAATGTCTCCTAAATGGTGCACGTTTAGGAGATACTGTATTTACAGTACCTACAGGTAAGCCTTATTATAGGCTTACCTGTAAGTACAAGTCCACAAACAGCCTTTATTACCACTTTAATGAAGTTTTTCTTGAAGAAAGGCCCCTTTCAGATGGAGTGCACTCCATCAAGCAGATCTGCCTGCCCATCTCTCCACTGATCCCCACTGAGCAAACCTATGCTATGCAGAGTGGACACAGACATAGGACCGCATATATGTTTCCATTCGACTGTCATTCTACCCAGTCCACCAGATGGATGGGGAACGGATCTCCATCTGTCTGTTTTCAGTGTACAGGACCGGATCGGATGCTGACGTGTGTCAGCGGACACATGTTCGCTGACACCTTCAGCTCCATAGAGAGCTATGGATGGTCTGATTTGACCATCAGTGTGAAAGGGGCCATAGGCTGTGTGCAGAAAAGCATATAATGGAAGAGGTTTTTTTTTTTTTTGCAAATAATGCTAACGTTTGTACTTTCCTGTGCTGATCTCACTTGTGGCACAAAAGCATATTTTGTGGGTACAAGTAGTCTGGAATATGTTATTGTGTACACAGTGAACAGGCTAAAGTTTCAAGCCACTCTTACTGTTAGCGCAACTTTGCCACACCAACAATTTGCAGCAGATAACACTGCCTATTTGTACTCCTCTGGTTAGTCAAGCCTAGGACCCCCCAAGAAAACTAAATATCTATGGCCCTGGGTTTAGGCACAAAGTTACACGAGACAAAGAACACATACTCCCTATGCAGTTTGCAAACTTTCCTTATAATTTTTCTACGACAGCTTTAAATTCACTAACACTATAGCTACTCTGTGTCCCACTCTTTTAAATCTTTGGTTTATCCAAAAATCTCCTTACTAGTCCTTCTATAGTTGCTGGATATAGTACAAAGGTTGACATTATGGTTTAAAAAAAATTCTCACTGGTGAATCTGCAAATAAATTCCCTTGTTCCTGCCATATACACTTCAATTTCATGGTAGCAGTGAACTTAAACAAGATGGAGATGCTGATAAACCTTTTTATAGTGAAGAATTGATTTTGATAAATTTTACTTCTCTTGATTAGTACATATTCCTTTAAAAATGCATCATACGTGTCACTGGGATGTCATTCCACGCCATCATTTCTTAATCTGTTGCAAAACAATTGTGAAAACGTTTAAAAAATCCACTGTTATGCACTATTTATTTACCCATATAATTGCCTGTGCCTCCAAAATGTGCAAAGCTTCAACATCCATAGCACTTGACACTTTTGGGTACATCCTCCATTACATCACTTTAATGTCATAGTGAACAGCAGGCAGAACCATAGTCCACAATGGGGGATACAGATATCTGACACGCCTGAATGTGTAATATGCTTTGAAGTTTCAATTATATTGTCAAAATTTCAGCTTTTTTCCAAGGCAGTACATTTTAATAAATGTAAGGTATCATTTCTAGCCATTTTAAGGGGACAGTCCCCATTTAAAGAGGTCTGTTTCTGGGAAACAAACATTTTGTTCTGAGGCATTGCACTGCACTTGTTGTCCCAGGCCCTATCCACCTCAGGCAGCAGAGCTGCTGTGTGAATCCCTCCCTTTACCCAGCCGTCCCAAGATATCATCATCATAATCATCATCATCATCACAGACATGGATGAGAGCAGAGCAATGGGCTGAGTGAAAATCTTTATTATTGTTGCTCCTGCTGCACTTCTCCTTCACTGGGCAACAAGTCTGAACAGTGAGTGCACCGCTTTCAGTAGGCATTCAAAGCACAATTTTCTAATGTAGAGAAGAAAGTGAAGAAATTGACAGGGCATTTTTATTTTACACTTGAATTTAAAGATCCAGTAAGTACCCAAAATTAATTAATTGCCCAAATGCTGACAGTTTATTTCTGTTTGAATGGTTTAACTACTTTCTGCAGTACCCAGGCGTTTGCTGTCTGTTTTGGTATGCTG